GTCCATGAGGTCAAGTACACTAGAGTCCTGAGTGGAAGCAGAGCTTGGTACATCCTCCAACTTGACAACTTGCAATTCACAGAGTATTGCGTGGCAAGGAATGCTGATAGCTCTTGTAGTGAGGTTAGATACATGTACGTCAACATGAAGCTTCTGACCACTTCCATCATATGAGACAAGTGTGGGCGTGATGTCAAGGTCATCTGGTATCTGTGATCCAGTAGTGGGATGAACTATGACATGAGTAGCATGATATGGTAGGGGCTGGTCAACATAACCTGAGATATGAATTTCCGAGTTGGCAGGGATTATCTTGCGAGCAGACTCTTGGCTCCTAACTTTACCGATAGAGTAGTTCCTCTTGGCTAATTCTTTCTCTCTTAGCACTATACTCCTGAAGGCTAAATACCAAGGTGTATGGAGATTTGCTTGCTGGAGAAACCTTGATCCAAATTTGTCCTGACACTGGTTAAGGTATATGGATAAGATGTTGGTCCCAAGTGTGATTGGTACTGTCTTGTTGTACTGGCTGTCTGGCACAACAAGTAGCATACTCTGTATCTTGGTAGATGCACTCCCAGATCCCTCTATAGCAACAACAATGACGCCACTGTAATGTAGAAGTTCTCCATCCGCGCACTCGACATGAAGAAGCTGCTTCAGTGGTTCTAGGTGAACATCAGGAAAGTTCTGTCGATAATATGCCTCAGCTATAGATGAGATCGTAGCTCCAGTGTCAAGCAAAGCCTTGGTCTTGATTCCATTAACAATAATGTTGGTTTCAGTTGGTTCGCCTACCAACTCGGACACTAACTGTTGATGGGTGTTGACCTTGTATCCTAGGCCCATGGTCCGCCCCTCCCCATAGGCCCCTGCAAGTTTCCCTGGCCCTGAAGTGGTGCACGACATCCACGCTGAATGTGACCTGGCTGTCCACATCGGAAACATCTAGGAATGTCATCCATGGCCTGAACTCCTTGGAACCATCCCGGATCTCCACGACCTGTAGGGTTGCCTCGTCCTCGACCTTGACAGAAAGGCTTGTTCCCTCTTGGCCTTGATGGGCGTGTCCAGTTCCTGGGTGGCAAGTAACCATACTCCTGACCTTGACCTTGATTATGGCCTTGACTCCATTGGTTATATTGACCTTGTTCTGTGACTTGTGGTCTCTCGTTTTTGACTTGTTCCTTGAGCTTGTTAATCTCAGTTGACATTGACTTGAGCATGCCCTTGATCTCTTGTAGTTCCGACTGCTCCTTGGTTAAAGACGACTTACTAGTTGCAGACCTCCTGGCTGTTGGTTGCCTCTGTAGCAGATCCTGTTCCAGTTGTCGTAGGTACTTGAGAAAAACTTCCAGTGATCCTCCCTGATCATATCTATGACTTGACATGTCCTTCAGGTCCAAGCGAAGCCCAGTCCACAAAGTGTCGCGAAGTAAGACATCCCTTTCCCCTGGCTTCACCTTTCCTAACATGATGGCTTGATCCAAGATGTCCTCAAGTCTACATTCCCAATGGGCAACTGATTCCTCCTCTCCTTGCCTGGCAGTATAGAACTCGGCCATGATGTTGTGTTCTGTGTGCACCATCCCGAAGACACTGTCCAGCTTGGTGATGAGAGAGTCCAATGGAGCATCCTTATCAATGTGCATGGCGACTCTTGCTGCCTTCCCACGAAGTGATTTGTGTACGGCGTCCATGACATCTTGCTCCGAATATCTTGTACAGAGACATGTGTATTCATGTTTCCACTGGTCGAAGTCGACGTCTCCTTTCCTGTCTCCCGAGAAGTATGGAAGCTGTGGCGTCTTAGCTAGCGTAACTGTGGGTGGAATAGAGGGTTTATGTTCCTGAGTCGACTTGCTAACTGATGAGATCCAGGCTAAAAGATCCTGAGGTGTATCAGCTTTGGGTTTCAAATCCAACTTCTTCAGTGACAAAACAAGTTGTTTAACCTCCTCCTCTGACATTTCCGCTTCAGCCATGTTGGAGAATAAATATGAATATACAAATGACAAACAACTGAGTAATACACGACCTAGAAAACTTGATGACTAAATGAAACACGAAATCCGCGAAAAATACACAACACGCGACACTTGATGACTGTAAATCTGTGAAGAATTTGTAACAAAACAGATTTCAAAGCACACAGTGAAGCACGCGAGAATACGTTAGATGTAGGATTTAATGAATGTTTACATTGATTTACTTAAATGGTATGGGAGTTTACCCTTAACGAATATAAGTTTAAATAAATTACATGTTTAGAGTTACCTTTAATTTGTGTTTAGATAATAAACTAATGCAGGTAAGTAAAGTGCAGGTGTACGCGCGCAGGGGCTTATAAATATGATACGCTACATAAAGAGAGAATAGCACCAAGCAATATGAAATGAAGATATGAGAAGCGAACAATGAAATACAACCCTTAATTACCTGAACAAAATAACCAAAGGGATAAATGAACGCAAAGAAAACCCTACAACAAAACCACAAAGAGAACCTACATACTAAAACACTAAACTATGAACACAACTAACTAAAACAAACTAAACCTACAGGTTTATTAAGATATGGAACTTAAAGTAAACTAAACTAAACTAAACTAATTACCGATTACTAAAGTATTACTAATTACCTAACACTAACTAATACACACTCACACACACAAACACATCGTGGTTGTATAGAGCAGATGTGTAACTGATACTAATAATTAATTTATGCAACTAAATAAAGTAACTAATCTTAACTAATGCTTAACTGAAGACAACACAAACAAATTCACAGTAGAATATAAACACTTAAATTACATAATATACTAGCTCCGGAGCAATAAACTAAAGGGGTACCCACAAGTTAATGAAATTAAGGCATCGTCATATACAAATGCAGAAATAATATTCAATACATGGATAGCATGAAATCACATTAACTGCAGCTGACCGAACTTCACAGGGAGGTCAAGGTCACACAAGTGTCCATATGTTAAGGTCACACAAGTGTCCATATGTTGAGGTCACACAAGTGTCCATATGTTGAGGTCACACACCATGATGCGTATACACACACGTCAACATGAAAACAATCTCAGAGTCTATTCACCGAACGATGATAATACATTGTGGGCGTTGTCGTCTTTGTCCATGGCTATCGTATTCGTAACTGTATCTGCTGTGGCTGACGTAGGCCGATCTTCTATGGCGGTGTCCTGTCCATGTTCCTCACTGGGGGGCTCCAAAATGTAGCAGCGTCAGGATGTAGTTATTGTAGTGACAAGAACCACAAAGCCACTGGGGTGTGAGGCGGATGGACTTTTATTACAAGAATGTAATAAACAAAAGCTTTAGCCAGGTTGGTATGACCTGAGCTCTTGCATTCAATGCATAGGTGATACTGCTGGTGTTTACGTCATCTTATATACATGGAAAAACACAGTCCAGATCACCATGATCTTGATCCTAAAGACTAAACCGCAACATGCGCGATGACAACCACATAAGATACTGACCAAGAGACTAGATGAAATTAACCTTTAAATACCTAATACCTTATACGCTTGGCTGAACAGAGAACAATAGAAATTACGCACTAGCCTGAGCAAGGGACAAGCTTTAGAAGGGATTGCAGGGAGAAAAGCATGCAGTGCAAATGAGTTTTGCTGAAATAGATTACATTTAAGATTAGATTGATGTTTAGAAGGGCTAAAGGTGTGATATAAAATGTTGAATATAAAATTATTGATAAAATGATTAGACTTGGGTTATTTAATGAGATTGTATATCTCATCATAATGACACACAACTTTAAAAGATTCACATGTTTATTATATTTACAACTATATACAATACAAAGTTGAATCTGCCACAATATGGCTACAGAAGTGTTGTAAAGAATTCATGACAGGGAAATACGAATATCAAATAATATATCGAGAGAGCAGTTGTTAAATACTCATTCACAGTATATTAATGATATGACCCTATTGCGTTGATAAATATTTTTCTAAAAGTGAAATTAAAATTGAATCTTGATTTTGCACGTTAACTTGATTACTTTAATGATTAACTAAGACAAAATCACTCCATCACCGAAAAGAAAATATCTTGAGCTCTGCGATTGGGCATGACAGACTCTACGGCAACGGCATAAGCCAGGGGAAACCACTCCCATCTTGCCCATAAACTAAAATTATCTGCTCTTGAGTTAATGAAAAAGGTCACGGCGATTGTTAATCGCACGCGGACACCATTTGCTAGTATCCTTCCTTGATTATCAAAAAAGGTATGTTGTTTCAAACTTATTCCAACATTGAATCGGTTGGGAATAGTACTTTGTGATATCGACTCGATAGTTCTGTGGTTCACTACAGCAAATAACAATGTATCCGACGTTAAATCGGTTGTGCATTCTCCGTGTTGTTGAAGTATCGAGGCGAATCATACAGTACAGTTTTATGCAATATAAAAGCACGCTGTCTCCAAACGTAAAGCTGATTATTTGCGTGAAACTTGAACACCATTTTGTCACAGACTACAATGATCTTAGCTCCTTACAATTGGTCCGGACCAATTGTAAGTTTCGATTGTAACTTACAACGATCTTAGCCTACAATCGCTTTGTGCAAGTCGATGGCGATTGTAGCCGAAGCCTAAGATCGCGATCTTAAGGATTTACAATAATTGTAGCGCTAAGATCGTTCTGTGCAAGTGGGCCCTGTTCAATTGAAGTAATTTTCAGCGCAACCAAAACCCGCCTGTCTGTGATCTCGGGGCAGTGGGATGTGAATACGGACATCGGAATGCGGACATTGAAAGTTACAAAATGAGAGTAATTAACCATCTAAATACGATAAGTCAACGATGAAAAAGGATTTCAAAGCACAAATCCTATGTTAATAACAAATATCTTTAAGACTTAAATGTTCCGTTTCCTTTGACAACTCTTCCAGCTAAACAACCACAAATTATTAGGTGTGGTTTACAGTTGACACCCACCTCAGCTAGGAATGAAGTCTCTCCTGGCAGAAAGCTGTATGTCCATCCATTCTGACAGGCAACGGTGGCATTCCCCTCCCCCGGGGTGGCGAACATCTTACACTTGTCCCACCCCCACACCCCATCCTCCTCCTTCCACGGGATGGAGAGGTTGAGCGAGGTGTTGGCGGCTGGTGTGCAGTGATGGCCAGGGTCAAAGCCCAGGTACATTGGACTGAACACATGCCACGACCCCCTCATGTACAGGAGTCCCAGACAGAGGTATGCCACCAGTTGAAAGGGCTTGTATCCCCCCAGTAGCTGCATGATGTCGTCCACCTCCATGGTGCTACCTTACCTGGAGCTTCTGACGATAAGCAGAGTGAGCGCCAAGTTTTATTACGCATTTAACTATGTCAAAACTGTGTGGCGGCGGTATGCGGGTGTGCTACTCGGCTCAACTCGGCTTTCTCCGTACACAAACAAACAAAGAAATGAAAATACTGGTTGCAGTTAAGATCAGTTTGTCTCGAACACGATGTAGTGAGTGCTTCTGTATATCGAAACAAGTACGCACACTCACCCACAAGCACGCACAATGACACTCTGTTTGTAAATGATTATTTAACATAAATCATCTGTTAATCCATCTGTCAATTTCAGTTGCCCGGGAAACGATATGATCCGGATTAACGGGTGTCACCGTCCTTACATCTGTATATATGTACATTGCTTTTTGACAATCAGAATACAATTTCCACTAGGGAATGATTCGCTGAAGTAAGGTAAGAGAATTGTCAGAAATTCTGGAACAACCGAAACACGTGTATGTGATTACACTGCTTCCTGCACGTACATGTCAAATAGAAGACGCCCTAACATCGACGACAACACGGGGCACAATGACACTTTCAATCACCCCGCTCTGCCCTGTTGAGCTCTTTCAACGCAGTACTACGGCCTGTAATTACTAAATCAAGGAAATGAGGGTATCGATGTTTGGATGTAAAATACACAAATATATGAAATGTGGTGATCTTCAGAAAATGTGGATATCTGCATAAAGCGAATCGTCATTAATCCAAACTGTTCGGATCCAAGTCAAGTCGTTGATAAGGAGCAGTGTCTCTTTGTGTTTTCACACATGTGTAAAAGTGTTACCTTGACGGAGATAGGTCTGCCTCGTAATTGTGACAGGGGTTCGAGTACAGTAAATATCCCAAACTCAATATTTCATGCAACAAAGACAACTTGTAAATCCTGTTTTAGGTTGAGAAGACAGTATGTTCGCGGTGTCACGCATGCATGCGCACGACATGTTTCAGCAGGACACACCTCTCCTGACCTTGTCTTCAACAACCACACGCAATATGTACGACATACTTGAAGTGTATGCTAATTCTGTGGCTTACTATATATAGGGCAACGGTCATGTTGACACGTGACTCCCTTGATAGCTTTATGTCGTGTCTGCCTGTATTGTATATATACGCATGTCCATGAACCTCGGCCTCATATTGGTGTGTGATGTGCCCAGTAGGCGGTGTTCCACTGTATTGCAAAATCTAGGAATTCTCGCTGAACATTTAAACATATTCCTTGCTTATTACTGCATTTTCCCATTGCTGTTAAATGCCATGAATTCCATTAACTCTTGCACAAGTAAGCGCTTAAAATTATTAATCGAATATCGAATATTTTCTTAGCATAACATATATTCACGTCAACCTACCGTTGGGAAGAAATATCCAATCCCTCTGTCTGTGTTTAGCCAGTTTAGTACGATGACTTGTAGGTGGTAATATTCTTAAATTCTGAACTGTTCGAGGTAAGGAAACCCTGTTTATCCATACTTCTGCCCAAGGCCATCTACCGAGTAGTGTTGAACTGTTCGAGGTAAGGAAACCCTGTTTATCCATACTTCTGCCCAAGGCCATCTACCGAGTAGTGTTGAACTGTTCGAGGTAAGGAAACCCTGTTTATCCATACTTCTGCCCAAGGCCATCTACCGAGTAGTGTTGAACTGTTCGAGGTAAGGAAACCCTGTTTATCCATTCTACTGCCCAAGGCCATCTACCGAGTAGTGTTGAACTGTTCGAGGTAAGGAAACCCTGTTTATCCATACTTCTGCCCAAGGCCATCTACCGAGTAGTGTTGAACTGTTCGAGGTAAGGAAACCCTGTTTATCCATACTTCTGCCCAAGGCCATCTACCGAGTAGTGTTGAACTGTTCGAGGTAAGGAAACCCTGTTTATCCATACTTCTGCCCAAGGCCATCTACCGAGTAGTGTTGAACTGTTCGAGGTAAGGAAACCCTGTTTATCCATACTTCTGCCCAAGGCCATCTACCGAGTAGTGTTGAACTGTTCGAGGTAAGGAAACCCTGTTTATCCATACTGCCCAACCATCTGCCGAGTAGTGTTGAACAAGGCTGTTTATCATACTTCTGCCCAAGGCCATCTACCGAGTAGTGTTGAACTGTTCGAGGTAAGGAAACCCTGTTTATTCATACTTCTGCCCAAGGCCATCTCTACCGAGTAGTGATGAACTGTTCGAGGTAAGGAAACCCTGTTTATCCATACTTCTGCCCAAGGCCATCTACCGAGTAGTGTTGAACTGTTCGAGGTAAGGAAACCCTGTTTATCCATACTTCTGCCCAAGGCCATCTACCGAGTAGTGTTGAACTGTTCGAGGTAAGGAAACCCTGTTTATCCATACTTCTGCCCAAGGCCATCTACCGAGTAGTGTTGAACTGTTCGAGGTAAGGAAACCCTGTTTATCCATACTTCTGCCCAAGGCCATCTACTGAGTACTGTTGAACTCGTCTCACCCTCAGTCACGAGAGCAACATTCAAATGTACAAACATTCTCGTTGCTTGGGGGTGTAAGTATTTACGTTATATACACCGATGAGAGACTGACCAAGAGCTATGTTGAGTCCACTCTCACCTCGGGAACACGTACAGTTGTGTCATTGTCAGTGACTGCATTGTGTAAACACCGAACCCTTCATTATAAAGAGTCCATTCCTATTCTATATTCACGTCAGAATGGATGGCTTATGGTGTATACCTCACCATGTCCGTGAACACCCTTTCGTTCGCCTTATTCACCGCGATGCGACATTGTGACATGCGACGCCAAGCAAAGACGGGTCATTTAATTTCATTCGCAAGAAGAATGCGATCTGGGCTGTAGGATGTTTGTCATCAAACAAATGTATTTTCCACACAGATCCTTCACGTAGGACCAGAAACTGGTATAACAGGTGGACGCGATAATACAATACTGAAGTGCCCGTTTCTGGTGTCCCCCGCCGTGATATTGCTGGAATATTGCTAAAAGCGGCGTAAAACTCAAACTCACTCACTCAATACTGAAGTCATAGAATAACCAGCCGTATTTTTTGTGGTATGACCTTACATTGTCTCATGAACAGGATATTTTGGATTACAGCATGTAAATCATGGCACTGACAGAGACTTCTTGGGTCGACGTTTTGCTCACAATACATTGGTGAACCAGCAGGTCACGAGTTTAAAAAAATCTATATACGAACGGAATGACATTTTTCCTATTTATCTTAATTTGGGGGAAGATAAAGGATTTACTGGTGCACACTAGCACCTTCCATGTTGTCTCATGTATACGGCCCTGGGTGCATTGTACAAAGCAACCTTAGCGCTACGCCAGTCATAAGTCTGTGTTAAGGTATGGGAGTTACGATCACCTTAGCGCTACGCCAGTCGTAAATCTGTGTTAAGGTATGGGAGTTACGATCACCTTAGCCCTAAGATCGCTTTGTACAACGGCGCCCTAGACCCCAAACAACAACATGGAGATTTACTAAAGTGTCCCGTTTCGATGTGGTCAGTATTGCCCAAAATAACCCGTCATATCAGCAAAACTCAGATTTCGATGATAGGGGACTGGTGGGGTCAGCTTGGGGGTAATGTGAAAAACGACTTGCGTCTGTGTAAACATGCTCCCGATGATACGCGAAAACACATTCTGTTTATATCACGCACAGACCGCGTGGAATGGATGGCTTGTCCGTGATCAGCAATGTGGACAGATACAAGTGGTTCGGTCACCTTCACCCCTCAGGGCTCTGGAGGAGTGGGGTTTTAAAAACTGCATCCTTGGAGTTTATGATGTTACCGTGAAGGATGTTACCGACGAAGGAATTGCATAGTCATCGATTAAAAACAAATCAGGACAACGTACAAAGTATTTATGTCTTTGTTATCTACCTCCTGACAGTGCATTGAGGAATGTATGTGCTTGAGAGTTTTATGACACTAAGCTGTCACGGATATAGAAATATACTCTCCCAAAAAAGAAACGCATCATGAAAATAGCAATTTCATGTAGCAATGAATTAAAACGTGATTCATTTTACAAAAGGTTTTGCTCTGTTTATGAGTCCAATGGTGTTTATGTTTTGAAACATCACAACAAAACGCATCATCCGTAAAATACCCGTATTTAACTGCATGATTTTCAATTTCGGCGTGTAGTGTCACAGAATACACAATTCACATGCAATGCACGTGAAAGTTGGGGATCAGATAGTCTCAATGATGGGTATAAACGGTTGATCGCTGTCTGTCGATTATTCACTGTATTTGGAATATTGTTGACGAACGCAAAATGCCACGTCTAAGTGAAGCCAACCGTCATATCGCCATTGGTTTGCTTGAAGCTGGCCAGTCTCAACGTGCAGTTGCCCGACGCATGAATGTTCACCAAACCACCATTTCACGGCTCTGGAAGAGATATCGCCGGCAGAATGCGGTAGCAGATGCCCCTCGTATTGGGCGACCTCGAGCGACCACTGCGGCGCAGGATCGCTACATCCGGGTACATCACCTGCGTCATCGAACAGTTACGGCGACCAATACCGCTCGACAAATACCCGGACTGAGAAGGCTTTCTGCACAGACCGTCAGAAACAGGTTGAGAGAGGCTGGTTTACGTGCTAAAAGACCTTATCGACAACATCATCGTCGACATCGAGTTCAATGGTGCACCAACGTTCAGGCCTGGAACCTACCGAATTGGCGTAGAATCTGGTTCAGTGTTGAATCACGATTTCTATTGGAACGGCGCGATGGAAGAATACAGGTGTACAGACGTCGACGTGAACGTTTCGCCGACGCTTGCGTTCCCCAGGTGGACAGATTCGGCCGGGGAAGTGTTATGATGTGGGGAGCGATCACCTGCCGTAGGAGAAGTGATTTGGTGATGATCCAGGGCAACCTGACAGCTCAACGGTACTGTGACGAAATCCTACGCCCACACCTCCTTCCAATCATTGATCGCCAGAGGGAGTTGTTTCAACAGGACAATGCCAGGCCCCACACAGCACGTGACACTAGAGACTTGCTCCAGAACCACAACATCAATGTGCTCCCCTGGCCCTCAAGATCACCGGACTTAAATCTGTGGGATGCCCTGGA